TTGTATTGTTTCAAAACATGGTTAAACTAAAATGTCAAAACTCATATGTTTATATTTTCATGTTTTGAACTATTTTGCAAAATGATGATTTTTTTTACTTGAGAGGTCCTTTTTGAAAACCAGTTTTTATAACATGTGTATTATCATGTTTACAATCATTTCCCAAAGTTTTATATTTTTTAGAATTTATTTGATATTTTTAAACAGAGTTTTAAAATTAGAAAAATTATTTCAAACCTGTATTTTTCATATACGCCCTTGAGTCCAAAGACTTAGTTTGTTTCTTGATGGCTCGCGGTCGAGCATGGCGGTCGACCGGATGTAATCCAGAAAGTTTCACGATCGACCGTCATTGATGGCTCGCGGTCGAGCATGGCGGTCGACCGGATGTAATCCAGAAAGTTTCACGATCGACCGTCACGGTCGACCAGCTGTTGTCCAGAGCCAAACCCTGGCCTTTTTACTGCTCACGGTCGACCGCGAGTTTTCCACGGTCGATCGCCGACTGCCTAACAGCTATTTTTGGTACAGAATTAGATTTCTGATTCTTAGGTTTTTTGGTATTTTTTGTTGGGATTTTGGCTGAGATTTTGGGAGGCTATATATACCCCCTTGCTCTCATCCTTCATGTATAACCAAGAATGTTTTTAAACAAGTTTAAGGGTGTTTAATTTTGGTTCAAGTTTGTTTTAAAAGAGTTTGTTTGTGAAGAAATTTTCACAATAGCAAGTGGAGATCATCCTTTGGTGTTTGAGCATTCAATCTTCTCCCTCTCTCTTGTTATCTATAGAAAAGTTTTCTAAACTCAATTTCTAGCTTTGTATTTACATTGTTTATTGATTATCATCTCTATAAGCTAGATTTTCATAATTGAGTTTAGTTCAATTTTGTTTTATTGAATCTCATTGTTACACACACCCACTTGAGCTTTTAGTATTTACATACATAGTATATTGGGGTCGTGAGAGATTGTAACAATTGAGTTGTGCTTAATTGAGTTCTCATTCATGTTTGAGAACATTTTATTATAGTTACATTGTTAGTGTTGTAAAGTTTTCGGTGAGCTAGAAAACCGAGTGTGAGGTATAGACGTTGATCGGTGAGCATTGAAAACCGACATTGTGAGAGTGTGAATTGTGAAGTTTTCGGTGAACTAGAAAATCGAGTGTGGGGTGTGGACGTTGATCGGTGAGCGTTGAAAATCGATATTGTGAGGTGTAAATGTTATTCGGGTGAGCGTAGAAAACCCGGTTGTGTTAGTGAATTTCTCCCCGGGAGTGGGGAGCGGAGACGTAGGACGGAAGGTCCGAACTCCGTGATCATTTTGTGTGTTTGCATTGTTTATTTGCAAACTATCACTCTTGTTTTGTTTATGTTTATTTTAACATTGTGTTAATTTGTATATCCTTATATATATCTCATAGTATATCTCATTGCTAGGATATATCTCTTTGTTCATATCACTTATCCTAGCTTATATATATTATTGTATTTCATACTTGCTAGGATAACTTGTTATTAGTTTTAATTGGCATAAAATCGGATTAGATTAGCATAAGACCCTAATAACCCCCCTAGGGTCTAACAGAAATTAGACTTAAAATAAGTTGAATTGGACTTAACATGATTCATGTTAAGTCTAATTTAACTTGTTTTAAGACTTGACATGAATCATGTTAAGTCTAAAACCAAGTTAAATTAGACTTAACATGTACCATGTTAAGTCTAATTCAAATTATTTTAAGTTTAATTTTATGTTAAGTCCAATTTAATTCATGTTAAGTCTAATTTGATTCAAGTTAAGTCTAATTCAAATTATTTTAAGTCTAATTCTATGTTAATTAAGTCCAATTTGATTCATGTTAAGTTTAATTCAACTTGTTTTTAAAGTTATTTTTAGACTTAAAATAAGTTAAATTAGACTTAACATGATTTAAATTAGACTTAAAAGGAATTTAACATAATTAAAATTAGACTTAAAAGGAATTTAACATAATTAAAATTAGACTTAAAAGGAATTAAATGAGAGTTAACATAAATCAAATTGGACTTAACATGAATCAAATTGGACTTAACATGAAATTTTGACTTAAAATAATTTGAATTAGACTTAACATGGTTCATGTTAAGTCTAATTTAACTTGTTTTTAGACTTAAAACAAGTTGAATCAGACTTGACTGGACCATGCACCCAGGGTTGGCAGTGGCAATGAGGATGTCAGTGTCTGAGAGAAGAAGAAGAAAGAGAGAGGGAGGAGGAAGGAAATAGATTAGGAGAGAGGAGGATGGAGGAGCAGATTTAGATCTAGAGAGAAGGAAATGAGGGTATTTTTGGCTTTCATAGTTGTTTCTCTCTCTTTGTGCTTAGTTGGCATATAGTAAAGGGTTGAATCACATGATAAAATGGCTAAATCACATAATATGATACTTTTGGGGCTAAGCCATAATGAAAAAAATGGAGGGGTCAGGTCACATGGGGTTATTACTTTTTGGGGCGTTGACACAATTTTCTCTTTATAGATTACTAGTTAGAGAGCTTGTGCGTTGCACGAGCGTACTCGTAGAGTTGTCCCTTATTAAAGTTTCTATTGCACGCTCAATTGTCATAATTTGTTTCAAATAGATATCTCTAATTATTAATTCTACTCTTGATTTAAAGGATTAATTTTAAAGTAACTTATGAATCTGGAGAGCTTATAGCAAGTTTAATGTTTTGAGGGGCTAATTTTGAAATGATTTAAGAATTGAGGGACCGAATAATAGTTTCAATGATTTGAAGGATGACTTTAGGGACTAATGCAGAGAAAGGCCTTTGGTTCTCAAATAGCTTAGTGAATAATTGATTTGTTTATGTAAAGAAATTGTCAATCCCCTGAGCCCACGGGCTCATTGGCGCATGCAAGTTGTTGGACCCACCAAGCACAACTAGATGTTAGCTTAAATCCATCATCAAAATGCTAGCACTAGTTATTCTTAGGTATTGGGCTTCTCTATTTAAGCTGCTAATATTTGTTTACACTAGTCTATGTGGGACTAAAGTGGGGGTGTTACAATCACCTAACCTTACAAAGACGATACCCTCCTCATCACGACATGACAATCAACACATCCCACTGTCATTATCAGACGATGAGATGACTCCCACTACATCCACGTGATGTAGAAATTAGCCTCATATAGCACTTAGCTCCACCTTTTCGGTTGACAACTACTCTGATACCATTTTGTCATGCTCTGGGCCTACAGACTCGTTGGCGTGTGCAAGCCGTGAGATCCACCAAGAGCAACTCGATGTTGGTTTAAATCCACTGTCAAAATACTAGCACTAGTTATTCTTGGGCCTTGGGCTTCTCTATTTAAGTCACTAATATTTTTTTCACACTAGTCCATGTGAGACTAAAGTTGGGGTGTTACAGAAACATAGAGAATTGTTAAAATCGATCATTGGCATTTCTATAGGCCTCTCAATTCTTATAGGTTATTTCAAATAGATTCGTATACTTGCTAAATCTACTCTTGATTTGAAAGGTTAATAGCTTAAGAATCAAAGAACCTAATAGCGATTTCAATGATTTGAGGGGTTTATTTGAAAATAGCTTAAAACTTAGAGAACCTAATAACAGTCTCAATTATTTGGGACTTGCTAAATATAAGACATTTGAACCTTGTTATATTGGTTGTCTATTCTTGTTGCTTATTATGTGTTTACATTCCTCCTCCATATTGATCTTGGGCTTTAGATATTAGTCTTTGGTTTCCCAACAGTTTGTTGTTTCTATTGATGTTAATAATCACACAAATAATATAATGGGCGTGAAGTTGATTAGGGGGCCGCTAACTTTTCCGAATATCTGATTTTGAGTTGAGTAGCTTCAGCATGCACAGATAGCAATTCGTGAGAGGACGGGGACTAGTTCCTCCGCTGTTCCTCTGACGATCAAGTCAGTTGATAGACTTGAGTGGGAAAACGATGAACTGCGTGAGTTCTAAAGTGTAGTGCAGTAAAATTCTCAGATATTGCTTGCTTACCCTGGTATTTAGAATAGAACCTCTATTTATAGTGGTGAAAAAAGGGTAGAATGGTAATATCAGCCGATGTGTCATGAAGACTATCGGGGCTAGAGGAATGATGGCACATGCCAAGCATTTAGTGTGACACCGACGTGCTGTCAGCGGGGGAGGCTCAAGATTAAAATCTTCTTTTGACTTATAGCGAAGGGTGTTGAGAAGGAACGCCTTTCGAGTCGACCTTACAAGGTGTCGAATAACTGGCTGAGTGGGCTCGTAGTTATTCGTCTTCAACAAGAGGATAGATAAGTACCGCCCTTCGAGTCGACCTAAGGAGATGTTGACTTAGTAAGTCGGCTAAGCCGAGACTCTTGGTGGTCGTGACCGTCAATTTGATTTAAACAGTGCACGTAGGGGGACACCTGTCCATTGCTGGCAAAGGGTCGTACTTTGGCGACTAAAAACACCATAACAGTTTCTTACTATATATATATATACATATATAGAAAAAAAAACTTATGTCAACTTAAGTGGACGTCCACTAAGTTTCTTAGTCATTGATGATCACTTGATTGAGTTACATTGTGGATGATCTGCTACGTTGAACTTGTCTACATATTCTAAAACCCAACACACCAAATTTAGGGTGAACCCGTCGTGGTTTGACCCTTCATCCACTCGTATCAATTTTAACGGTTTTGAATGAATAGAACTTTTTACACGGCTCGACGGAGGGTTAAACCATGAGGGATTCACCCTAAATTTGGTGTGTTAGGGTTTTAGAATATGTAGATCAAGTTCAACGGAGCGGATCATCCATAATATAGCTTAATCAAGTGATCATCAATGACTAAGAAACTTAGTGGACGTCCACTTAAGTTGACATAAGTTTCTCTCTCAATATTCTCATTCGCTAACAGAGAAACGTTTTCGAACGGATAAATTAATAGTAAATGAAGGACCTACACGTAAAAGTGCAAATCAACCCAAACCTCATCTCACCTTTCCTAATTGACTCCACAAAATTAAAACTTCGCTGCCACTTCCCAATCCTCACCGCCGCTTCCATCTTCGCCATCCCAATCCTCACCGTCGCTGTCCCCTTCCATCTTCGCCGTCCCAAACTGTACCTCCGGCTTCGCCATCCTAATCCTTACCACTGCTGCCCCCTTCAATCTTCGTTGTCCCAAACCGCGTTGTCGGTGACGAACTCAAGCGAACCCAAAGAGAACCTCAGGTACTTGTTTTATTTGATGAACAAACGCCTTTGCCGATCCTGAGGTACTTTGAGAACCTCGGGTACTTTATCAATCGACGAACGGACACCTTCATCGATCCTCAGGTACTTCATCGATCTTTTAGTTTCGTTAATTACTTTCATAAACTCATAATTGGACAACTCCTTAATTCAATCTAGTTAATGAAAGTTTTTTATTTTTATTTTTTTAAAGGAATCAACTTAATTTTTCCCACTGTCAGTAAACTTAAAATGTTGAAATAATGATAGGTATTGATTTTGTCCTACTGTCAGTGAACTATTATGTTTATGGGCATGCCGAGTCTTTCTGTAAAAGTATATCGAGCTTGTGCATGGTGCAAAACTTACAGATTTGGCTTGGAGTTTTGACTGTAAGATAGTTGATAATGAACTGCTTGGAAATTTGACATTGAGGTGAATTGATCATGAAATGCTTGCAACTGTTGGTACTTGATGATGTTTTGTAGGCTAATTGTCCAAAGGCTGTTGTTTGGGTTCACTGAGCTTAATTTCTGTGCAAGCCTCATGTCTCTGTTCACCCCAGCTCAGTTTAACTCCTTCGGAGCCCCGCCAGCGGCCCTGGTTCGATTCCCCTTGTTCCCTTCACATCTACAAGGAGCTACCCTTAATACCAGGGGCTCATCCCCACGGGCAGAGCGCTGGCGAGCAGCGTGGGGACCACTAGGACGCGAACTGGTGAGCATACAACGAGCTGAGCTGGATTTGATGACCAATAAAACCCCGGGTTTCCGTCCCCACCCTTAAACCAAGGGAAACCAGGTGAATGCGGCTACGAGGATTCGAACTCCTGACCAACAACGGGCAATAGCCTGGAGAGATACACTCCCCCATGGAGAGCTGCTGACCATGAGTCCCACCCGCGGGACGTCCCAGTTTTTGTAACCAGTAACAAAATTGAAGAATAAGCCCCTTATCAAGTTGAGACTATAAAAGAATGAAGTTTTGTGATGCTAAAATTTTTCCTATTTAAAAATCATCTCCCTTTTATTTTATTTTATTTCCAGTTTTGGGTTAATATTCTATATTCTGCATAAAAATTTTGGGTTTTGTTCAGGCTTTGATTGCTGTATGGATAGATTTGGGCTATACTGATAATGGAAAATAATAAAATGCACTTCTTCCCACGATTAGGAAGAAACAAGATACAATAGTTTCCATCTCACTTCATCTACAATAAAATGATACATGCCCAAAAAGGCATGTTGGATGGAAAAAAACCGTCTTGGCTGCCTAGAAATCTGTTTGATGGAGGATTTGTAGTGTGAGGAGATTTGCAACCTCTTTAGAGAGAGAGAGAGAGAGAGAGAGAGAGAGAGAGAGAGAGGATCCATTTTCAAAGAAAGATTTGAGAGAAATGAGAACGATTTGTTTTGAGAGAAGGATTTGAGCGCCGAACAGAAATATGTAATTTGAGAACACTGGTTTAAGTTTCCATTTAGTAATGAGTGTTATGTACAAAATTAACACCGAGCATATCCAGGTATATACAAATAAAACTCAGTCAGCTTATAGCTGCTATGAAAAGTACGACTGCGCCTTCACATCAAATACATCAAAGAATATAAATGAATATTAACAAGAAATCCCTTTTTACATCCTTGATTATCATAGTAGCCACAACTTCTTTATTAGAAAAAGCTCGCCAAGTACAATAAACACATGTCTCATATTTTCCTTTTTTACTTATCAGCCTCCACACTATAATATGTGACCATGAGACTGGAAACAAGGTGATACCAATCCAAGCAATTATCTCCTCCCACACACTTAGAAACTAGGCAATCAAACGTTAGGTGATCCAAATTCTCATCCACTTGCTTACACAAATAGCACTTGTTCTCATTAAGGATCGATAGCCTAATCAATCTCTCTTGGATCATCCACTTGCTTACACAAATAGCACTTGTTCTCATTAAGGATCGATAGCCTAATCAATCTCTCTTGGATGAGTAATCTCAGCCTCATAGTAAGCCACTTTCTCATTAAGGATCGATAGCCTAATCAATCTCTCTTGGATGAGTAATCTCAGCCTCATAGTAAGCCACTTAATGAAAGAATACATATGATCAACATGATATAAAGCATTATAGGCCTTAGAAAATTTGAATTTATCTCCATGACAACATGCAACAAGCTTAGAGACGCAACAACCAATGTTGCCTCATTGCACAACCATCTGATTCTTCACTTTAACCAACATTTTTCACTGTCAAAAATTAATGGTTTGGCTTGAACCACCCATATATACATTGCTTCAAGTAGGATTCATGTAACCATTTTATCTAGAGGGGTATCTTTCTTAGAGTGGATATCCTACCTATATCAGTTTGGCAATAGATGCCAAATTCTACCCCTCAGGACTATACAGATCCTAAACCTTCATACTTCTTAGACCTACATACATCTTTTCAACTTACCAAAGCTATCTTACGCTTCTCTTGTTTACCACCCTAAAAATGAATCCTGCAAATTGCATCAACAGAGTGAAGAAGACACTTTGGAAGCAAAAAACCACTAGTCCAAACACTTGCACCAAAAAAAAAAAAACGAATCTGATTCCATTAAGGCAAGTCTACCAACATAGGATAAATGCTTATTATTCTAGCCAAAGACTTTTGACTTAATTCTATCCAATCACTACTTCAAAATGGGGTATTGGCTACGGACATATAGCGACAGAAATTTCCGTCGCTATAATATGACATATAGCAAGTTTTAGCGACGGATTTTAGGTCGCTAAATATCCGTCGCTAATATTTAGCGACGGAAAAACCGTCGTTAAAAATTTATTTACCTACCCTCGTCATAGTGACAGACTTATAACGACAGAATTACTAATTTTCCGTCGCTAAAACTTTTAGCGACGGCTTTTCGACTTTTGGGGACGGATTTGTCCGTCGCGAATAGTCCAGTATGCAGTAGTGAATAGAGGCTGAAATAACCCAACCCCCAACCTACTATACTAGATAGAGGTAAGCCAAGATACACATCAGGCAAATGAGCTTCAACAAACCCTACATTGGCCCATCCCTGATGGCAGAGCTTCAATAAACCATTGTTCATCCCAAACAATTTTAAAATATAGTATACTTCAAAGGAAAAGTTACACTTTTGTTTTTTTAGTTCAAAAGTAGTATGCGCTCGTATCAATGAATAAATGAAGTGACTTGTAAATTGAAACAAGTTGCATCAATTAAGTAAATATGCAATTAACTTTATAAGAAATTAAACAAGACTAGAAGAACGATGTGGCAATGTGTAGTACTTGCATCCTTGAGTAATTCGACATGGCAAACCAATAGAATCAGCTAGACCCTGCATATCAAATCAAACAAAATTAGTATGTTTTTGATTCTGATGTAAGAAAAACATAAACTTTTAAACAATTAGTATGCTTTTAATTCTGAAAGAATGTCTTTATTTTGTTGCAGGCAAATATATGTATATATGGAACCTGATAATCTGAGATAAAAAGTTCTTTAGCTATCGATTTTCCGGTTGACATTTACCTGGACGATATTACATTTATTGTTGTTGTGTATATTCTCAATTTATATTAGTTGATTCATGTGTACAACTTTCGAATTGCCCAATACTTGCATTCATTTTTTTCAGTTGCCGTCAATTTTCCAAAATTACCTTCACAACATTTGAATTTAGGGAAAATTGCTTGGAGGAAGCAAAATAAGTTGGGCCAATCATCCCCACCCCCAGCCCAACAACCATAACCCATAAGCCCTAAAATTAAAAGATATATGCAACCAACCCCCAAACCCACTGCCCAAGAAAACAACTTCCCAAATTACCCTTCTTCTTCCCAATTAAAACTCAATCCATTTCCTCCCCTCCCCTCCTCCTCCCTCCTCATTCGCACCCTCCTCCTCCACGACGCCCTCCTCGGCTCAGTCCGCCTCCTCCCCTCCCCTCCCCTCCTCCCCCTCCTCCGTCGCATCCTCTCCTCCTCCCCTTTCCCCTCCTCCCCTCCTCCTCCCTCCGCCGTCGCATCCTCTCCTCTTCCCCCTTCCCCCTCCTCCTCGACCCCCTCATCATTGAGAACTTATTTTTAAGTGTTTGAAATTGAGCTGCCGTTGGATGCTGATACGACGTTTCATGTATACTTCCCTTTTTCAAATTAAACTACATAGAATGAGAAGTGTTGCTTTGCGTGCAAGATAAGTTAATCTAATTTTTACTTGGAACTCCCAGAGGTAAATGGAATTTTACAATTTGAGGCAATTTAATTTTGTTCCACAGTTTCTGAGTCTGGGCCGATGAGGGGTGGTGGGAGTGCCGATTTCTTTGCTGGTAAATACGCTGGTGATGTAGGATGCCGCCAGCAAAATGAGGCGGCCGCAGAAGTAACTTACGGTGCCAAACTTTTTCCTCTTTTTTTTGTTGGGTTTTTTTTTTGGGAGTTTGTTAGGGTTGTGAGGGTGAAGGGAAAGGAGGTGGGGAGCAGAGGAGAAAGGTGGGGCTGAGGCAGCAGCGGAAATGGCAAGGGATCGCCAAGAAGTGCAGACCTGCAGTCTCAGAGTTGCGGTTGTGGAGAAGAAAATTAAAATATCAGCTACAGGTTAGTCGCCGATGATGATGATGATGATGATGATTTTGACAGGTGAAGGTTGGTTTCGAATCTGCACTTGACGCTACATCTTCGTCGTCGTCGTCGAAATCTCAGAGCTCCAGCCCTAATTCTACTAATTCATCGGAATTATGTGGTGTTGATTATAGCAGGACAAAGGATTTGTACTGCAGATTGGTATGTTGTTCGATTAATTTGTTGGCTCTTTGAAGAAAATTAGGTTGTAGGTTTGGAGAGTTATACTCTATTTGATGGGTTGAAATCATTTGGGGGATGATTTTGATATAATAATAGCTTAATTCTGTGTGACTTTTGGTGCCCATATGTGATATTTTAGTATGTTGTGTGACTTATGCTGCATTTAGTCACATTTTGGTATTTTGTGTGACTTTTGTGGTTGTTACGTGACATTTTAGTATTCTGTGTGACTCTTGGGGCGCATATGTGACATTTCAGTATTCTATGTGACTTTTGGGACTGTTATGTATTCTATGTGATTTTTGGGGCTGTTATGTGATATTTTTACATTCTCTGTGTTATATTCTTGTTACCAGTTACATATCCTGTTATTAAGTGTTATGTTATATTTCTAAAGGTATGATTATGGCATACATGCGTATTTTTTCATCAAGGCGATCCTCGAGGGAAGGGAGATAATGAACGTTGAAGCCTTACACATGGAGTCGCATATGCTACGAGTAGGACTTGCTGCTCAACTCATATGTGAAGGGCGTGAATGGAAAAAAAAACTACGGTTTGAAATTAGACAGTGATGATGCAGAATATTTTTTGTACTTTGGGGGTAGTGATGTACCTATGATTGAGTGGAAGTATTAGACTCTACATGTAACTGTAACAATTGTTTAAACGCTATGATGTAAAGGATAACTAGTTTACTAGTTGTGTGTGACATTTGTTGGATTGTTGTGTGAGCTATATGTGAAGATATGTGACCATTAGTATGATGTGTAACGTTTGGGGCTTTTATGTGACGTTTTAGTATGGTGTGTGACTTTTGCTTCTTGTATGTGACATTTTGGTGTTCCGTGTGACTTTTAAGGCTGTTATGTGATGTTTTAGTATGTTGTGTGACTTTTGCTCCTTGTATGTGACATTTTGGTGTTCTGTGTGACTTTTGAGGCTGTTATGTGATGTTTTAGTATGCTGTGTGACTTTTGCTCCTTGTATGTGACATTTTGATGTTTTGTGTGCCTTTTGAGGCTGTTATGTGATGTTTTAGTATGATTAACATTTCCTGACAGAATTCAAACTCTTTTGTGACTGTTGTCTATTACATGTTACATTTTCCCTTTTGTTGTGATATTTGCTACTTAAATGTGACATATTACCTGTTCGTGTGACTTGTTAGTATTAACAGTGATACCTGTAAGAACTTTACTTTTAGATTCCATTTAATATGCTAAAGAAAAAAGATCACCAAGAAATTACAAATGCACATTTTATCATTTACAAACAGCTAGTAAACATCCAACATCCAACAAATGAAATAATTATGTCTGTGTGACTTTTGGTGCCCATATGTGATATTTTAGTATGTTGTGTGACTTATGCTGCATTTAGTCACATTTTGGTATTTTGTGTGACTTTTGTGGTTGTTACGTGACATTTTAGTATTCTGTGTGACTCTTGGGGCCCATATGTGACATTTCGGTATTCTGTGTGACTTTTGGGGCTGTTATGTGATATTTTTACATTCTCTGTGTTATATTCTTGTTACCAGTTACATATCCTGCTATTAAGTGTTATGTTATATTTCTACAGGTATGATTATGGCATACATGCGTATTTTTTCATCAGTGATACCTGTTCGTGTTGTGACTTGTTAGTATTAACAGTGATACCTGTAAGAACTTTACTTTTAGATTCCATTTAATATGCTAAACAAAAAAGATCAACAAGAAATTACAAATGCACATTTTATCATTTACAAACAGCTAGTAAACATCCAACATCCAACATCCAACAAATGAAATAATTATGTGTTTGTCTAATACTTCCACTCAATCAATGGTACATACCAAAATGTCACATAATCGGAGCAAAAGTCACACATCATACTAAAACATCACATAACAGCCTCAAAAGTCACACAGAACACCAAAATGTCACATACAAGGAGCAAAAGTCACACAACATACTAAAACATCACATAACAGCCTTAAAAGTCACACGGAACACCAAAATGTCACATACAAGAAGCAAAAGTCACACACCATACTAAAACGTCACATAAAAGCCCCAAACGTTACACATCATACTAATGGTCACATATCTTCACATATAGCTCACACAACAATCCAACAAATGTCACACACAACTAGTAAACTAGTTATCCTTTACATCATAGCGTTTAAACAATTGTTACAGTTACATGTAGAGTCTAATACTTCCACTCAATCATAGGTACATCACTACCCCCAAAGTATAAAAAATATTCTGCATCATCACTGTCTAATTTCAAACCGTAGTTTTTTTTCCATTCACGCCCTTCACATATGAGTTGAGCAGCAAGTCCTACTCGTAGCATATGCGACTCCATGTGCAAGGCTTCAACGTTCATTATCTCCCTTCCCTCGAGGATCGCCTTGATGAAAAAATACGCATGTATGCCATAATCATACCTGTAGAAATATAACATAACACTTAATAGCAGGATATGTAACTAGTAACAAGAATATAACACAGAGAATGTAAAAATATCACATAACAGCCCCAAAAGTCACACAGAATACTGAAATATCACATACACGTAACAACCACAAAAGTCACACAAAATACCAAAATGTGACTAAATGCAGCATAAGTCACACAACATACTAAAATATCACATATGGGCATCAAAAGTCACACAGAATTAAGCTATTATTATATCAAAATCATCCTCCAAATGATTTCAACCCATCAAATAGAGTATAACTCTCCAAACCTATTATTATATCAAAATCATCCTCCAAATGATTTCAACCCATCAAATAGAGTATAACTCTCCAAACCTACAACCTAATTTTCTTCAAAGAACCAACAAATTAATCTAACAACATACCAATCTGCAGTACAAATTCTTTGTCCTGCTATAATCAACACCACATAATTCCGATGAATTAGTAGAATTAGGGCTGGAGCTCTGAGATTTTGACGATGACGAAGATGTAGCGTCAAGTATAACACAACTATTAAGTGCAGATTCGAAACCAACCTTCAGCTGTCAAAATCATCATCATCATCATCATCAACGGCGACTAACCTGTAGCTGATATTTTAATTTTCTTCTCCACAACCGCAACTCTGAGACTGTAGGTCTGCACTTCTTGGCGATCCCTTGCCATTTCCGCTGCTGCCTCAGCCCCACCTTTCTCCTCTGCTCCCCACCTCCTTTCCCTTCACCCTCACAACCCTAACAAACTCCCCAAAAAAAAACAAAACAAAAAAAGAGGAAAAAGTTTGGCACCGTAAGTTACTTCTGCGGCCGCCTCATTTTGCTGGCGGCATCCTACATCACCAGCGTATTTACCAGCAAAGAAATCGGCACTCCCACCACCCCTCATCGGCCCAGACTCAGAAACTGTGGAACAAAATTAAATTGCCTCAAATTGTAAAATTCCATTTACCTCTGGGAGTTCCAAGTAAAAATTAGATTAACTTATCTTGCACGCAAAGCAACACTTCTCATTCTGTGTAGTTTAATTTGATAAAGGGAAGTATACATGAAACGCAGTATCAGCATCCAACGGCAGCTCAATTTCAAACACTTAAAAATAAGTTCTCAATGATGAGGGGGTCGAGGAGGAGGGGGAAGGGGGAAGAGGAGAGGATGCGACGGAGGAGGAGGGAGGAGGAGGGGGAGGGGAAAGGAGAGGAGGAGAGGATGCGACGGAGGAGGTGGAGGAGGTGGAGGAGGGGAGGGGAGGAGAGGAGGCGGACTGAGCCGAGGAGGGCGTCGTGGAGGAGGAGGGTGCGAATGAGGAGGGAGGAGGAGGGGAGGGGAGGAAATGGATTGAGTTTTAATTGGGAAGAAGAAGGGTAATTTGAGAAGTTGTTTTCTTGGGCAGTGGGTTTGGGGGTTGGTTGCATATATCTTTTAATTTTAGGGCTTATGGGTTATGGTTGTTGGGCTGGGGGTGGGGATGATTGGCCCAACTTATTTTGCTTCCTCCAAGCAATTTTCCCTTGAATTTATTATTTGATTTGTCTGTACTCTATGTATAGGTTTTCCCTTTTTTCTTGTTGGAGAAATCCCTATGTATAGTTGTTAAGTCCATAGTACAAGCATGTTCTAAGCTTCAACGCGCTAATACGGGAGCTTGAAATCTTAACAAGTCATTCCATTTCACAAAATTTGCTAAATGATCTCATACTACAGGGACACTGATGAAAAAACTAAACCACAATTCATCCCACAAGAAGTGACTTGAAAACTAAAACAAGTTGTATCAATTAAGTAAATATGCAATTGACTTTATAAGAAATTAAACATCAAAATACCTAGTTGTTTTTCGGAGTCGGATACTGAACTTTAAATTCTGCCTGTACAAATAAACAAGAATCAATTGAATAAATGGAACTAGCTGTAAATAAGATGCATCACTCAACTAATGTAAATAGCTTTGTGAACAATTAAACATTAAAATACCTAGTTATTTGACAGGTTAGCAGAGAATTAGTGCAACTACTTTTATAATGTCCCTTTTGACCACATCTGCCGCATGTCCTCTTTTTTATCTCCTTTTTTTCTGTGCTTGTTCAAGTCCTGATTTCAATCTGCTAATTGTTCTCGGTCGTCCCTTATGTTTTGTAGACTCGAGATGGCCACGAACAGTGATTTGAGGGAGTTTCTCAATAGTATGGCAAAGAGTACTAGATTCAACCCGACTTGTAGCTTCAGTCCCCTTGATTTGCTTAGCACTAATATCTTTTTCATATATTTCTATCAAGTTAGAAAAAAAGTATCTATTTCATCAATGACCATAGGTGATTCAGGTGCCCATTCCATCATGTTCTTAAATTTTGCTCTCAAAACCCAAGAGTGCAAAGTACTCCATTGTTCTCTACTATTATTAAAGTTTTTTTTCCAGCAACACATTAGAGACTCCAATATTACGGTGCCTTGCATTCATTATCCATCTATGCATAATGTATTTTTTAGGAATTCTTACCAACTGATTCGATATCATAATATGAATGGCATGCCTACATAATGTTCTATCAGTCTCAAACATAGCACATGTACATGTTATTCTCTGTTCGTTTTGATTATAAACTACATGCTCCTATACACTTCTTTCAGTGGAGAGCGAGCCAACTATGTATTTAGAAGTTGATTCTTCTTTTCCCATCTTATCATAAAACAAAGATACAGAAGCTTTAAGCTCATCTTGAAACCTCTCAAACATAGCTCATGTATATGACTCTCCAGCTTGAATCTCAATCGAATGGTTTAGATGCATCACAGGCTTTGTATTCAAAGTAGCAAATTCTTCAGTTAATTCTTGAGAATGACTCGATAATATTGCTTTATCATATTGCTCAACAAAATCAGGTAATAATATTTGTGAGTTGACATATGTGTCAAAGAAGGCATTTATACTTTCACTACGTTAGCTTGATGTCATTCCTGCAAAGAGAGTATCTTTGAGATAGCATGAAACCCAATGTGTTCTATTTCTGTACATGGTTTGTAACCAACCTTTCTCATTTTCTTCCATATTGAATTTTTCTTTTAACTTATCCCATTGCTGAATACATGTTTTAATCATCTTGCTATGCCACCATCTATTAAAGTAGTTCACAAACTCTTCTCCATGCAACTTTTGTAGAGATAATAAATGATCAACCATGTGCTTACCAAGATACCATTTGCAATAGCGATGTTGAGTATTTGGAAACACTCTTTGAATGGCATTGCATATAGCTTTGTCCTGGTCAGTAATAATAGCATGCGGAGCCACTTCATTCATACATTTAACCCACTTAGTAAACAACCAGACAAATGTGTC